TAACAAAGAAACTCTCTGAGGGGTCTTACTGAGGTCAGGCATTGGGCTGTGCAAAGAGGAAACCCTTGCGTTTGCTTTTATTCAGGATAACAGAGAAAGGTCAGAGGTGATCTATTAATTAAGATACTTTGCTTCAGTGGAATTGGAGGAATTCCCCTCAGACCCTTGAAAAATTAAAGAATCAGATAACAATGTTCGTTTTGCACACTTTGCCACTGTGGTGAGTGATGTAGCTCAATTCTACTTAAACATGTAAACAAAAAGGGCATAAAAACCTTTTGAATCCAGCCTACAGTGACTAATAACCAACAGAATTAATCCTCTGAATTAGCTTATGTTTTACAAACACACAAAGAACACTTATATTTGCAGCAATGCATTGAGAAATCTTCTTATATACTCTTAGTGAGTTCACACAATGATATTTACTTTAACACTATTGGGCCGTGAGCCCCTTTACCCTTTGGCCTCCTAGTTGTCTATCCTTCATCTCAGCCTGTTTCCTCCAGATGGCTCTCTATACTCTCTCCACTTTGTTTGTTGAGTCAAAAGGAGACATGTTGAGAACCATTTTGCTGGTTCTGTTGATTCTTACCACTTATAGGTCTGTGCTGTATTTAAAGGAATAGTTCACCCTAAAATTTAAAATTTGGTCATCATCAGTCAACAACCTGACTTAATTCTTTCTTTCATTCTTAAAGAATGTTTCAACTGTTTTTACAAAATATATACACTATACCGTTCAGAGTTTAAAAAAAAAGAAATTAATACTTTTTTTCATAATTGTTCAGATGTGACAGGAAAGTGTGAACTTTCTATTCATCGAAGGTAAAAATATATAATGGTTTCCAGATAAAATATTAAAGTGCACAACTGTTTTCAACAGTGATAATAAAAATAAATGTTTATTGAGCAGCGTGATTAGCATGATTTCTGAAGGATCACGATTATAGTAATTTGTAATAATATTATTTTAAAATATTTTTTTTACAATACTGTTTTTACTGTATTTTCTATCAAATAAATGCAGCCTTGGTGAGCATAACAGACTTCTTTTTTTGTCAAATAAGTTTTTATTCAGTCATCGAATAACCTTGCAATATTCACAAATAGCAGACTTCTTACCAACCCCAAACGTTTGAATGGTACTGTATATAATGTATTTGAGTAAACAATGACAGAGAGAGATCACAGTGGAGTCAGCTGTCTTAACCATGGCTTGTGTACTGCAAACACATAGCAGCTTCATCACTGTCTGTCACACGACTCTGTTCCCCTTTCGGGCTCTGTCTTTACATTTATTTTGAAAGATGAAGCTCGCGATTATGGTAAGGGGCGTTACATTTCTGTCGAGTGCTTGCGGTGTTCGGCCAATCACAATGCACTGGGTCAGCTGGCCAATCAGAGCAGACTGCGCTTGTCGGAAGGAGGGACTTTGTAGAAAACTAAGCGTTTGTGAGAGGCGGGGCATAGAGGACCTACAATAATGTACAGTATTTGAAAAATAATGTGTTTTTTGAACATTAAAGCATGTCAACATATTCTGTTACACCAAATACACAAAATAATGATCTTTAAAAAAGCATCATATGACCCCTTTAAGACTTACACCATGTCCTAGCCAATGAGCTTTGATTCTTCTGACAGAAAAGCTAGCATTAAAAATGCAAGCTTAACATTCCCATTCATGTCAATGCTAGTTGCAGAATTGGCAAGAGCCAATCACCTGTGCCATAAAAGCCATGTGACTAATCACTCAGGCACAAGGAAATTAAATCATGAATGTTAATTTCTAGATGACACCATTAGAATAGAATAATAAAAAAAACATTGAGCCTTAGCAAAACATAAATTAGAATAATATTACATTTTTGACATTTATATTTGCAAGAAACATTGTGTTTATTTTATTTCAGATAGTTTTTTGAAGTTAGATTATAAATCTAATTATTACAAGCAAATTACTGTAAATAACTCTTTGCTTAAAATAACATTCCAATGATTTCATTTCTAAAAGGAGGACATACAAAATATTAAGACATTTTTCAGTTCAACTCTAATTCTTATACTGAAAATATTATTTATTTTGAAATACATTTGTTTAATTAGAAAAGTGCACTCCTGCTGTATTGAGAGTATTCGATTGTGAGATTCTACTTTTCAGTAGAATGACTCTATTTTATACTCTTTTAGCAAGATCACTTCATTTCATATGTGAGACCACATCCTTCTGTTTTCCCAGCTGAACAGTCAATGTTATCCACGTAGAGGCGATGTGTGTGTTTGTCTTTAAGCTGCTCTAGTGTTGGCCATTAGTGCAATGCAATGTGTTCCCAGCGCTTTCTCATGTTTGTGTGGCAAGACCTTTGCTTCTGACATTAGAAGATCACCCTGCTCTGTTTGTCACTGGTCTAACACACCAACAGGAGACACATACTGACAACAACATAACCAAGCTAGAGCCGGCTTAGCTAGCCTTAACAGGTCAGGCATATATAATATAAAATGCAAAGAGGAATGGCACAACCTGATTTAACCAGTCTTTGTTATTCCTTATTTTAACTAAGATTTTTTCAAAAACTCTACTGAAATAGCAAAGCAAGTAAGAGACCTTTGTGATAAAACATGACTGGCTAAATGCCAATGTGTGTAATCCAATCACTGACCTGTAATCATCTAGAAACCGTTTTAAGGTTTAAATTAAGTTAAAAGCGATTATTTAACATGTTTAAGTGTTTTCTTTTATCCCTGATTAATATGCAAACTATAGTAACTAAGCAAAAGTTGCTCTTTTTGGGTTGTACCCAAGTGCTAGTGGTTGTTTGGCATCGTATCATGCTATATTGTGTATTTTAGCATGGTTTGAACGCTGTTTTGATCAACTGGAAACGGTTTTATAATCCATGTTAGATACATTTGGATGTTTGAAGGTTTAAGAACACTGCATAAAAAGTGTAGGGCGTCAGTTAGCATTTCACAACTGTGCATAAGTGTTACTATTGATTGATTCTCATGCAATGAATAATTTTCACCCTACTTGCCCAAACTTGCTTCAACAAGTGTGAAAACACCCTCAGTTTGCTTCTATGAGACAGGTAAAAGGAAAATGTGAGAATGTGAGAAAATATGTTTTTATTCCACCAGTTTCTTTTTTAAATTCATTTAACCCAAGCAGCGGTATTGCATAAAAATGTGAATGCCTAATGGAATTTGTCCTGAATTGGTCCGGTTTTATGAGTAAGGAACACATAAAAGCTTTGTGATATCTGTTTTCATGCATCAAACATTTGAAATGGCCTCTTTTCACAAATCCATTAAGCATCTATCCATTTAAAAAGAAAAATACACTTTAATGTTGTTTTTACCATTGTTTAAAAAAAAAACAGGAGACCTGCACATTGCATTACTGGTAGCGGCATTGACCCTGAGTTCCTGAGAGGACTCTTCCTGTTACGGTTAGTTAGATCTTCCTCTGCTGTCTATAAATAAACCCTTCAGTCTCACCCAGTAACTGTGGCCGGAGTTTCGCTTTATTTAAAGGTCCTTTAATACTCCTGTGCTCTTTTTAGAAGTGCTCCTTTGTAATTGCTCAAAGGACAAGGTGCCCCATTGCATTTTAGTTGTACTGACACATGTGCTTTTGTGATATCTGTTTTCATGCATCAAACATTTGAAATGGCCTCTTTTCACAAATCCATTAAGCATCCATCCATTTAAAAAGAAAAATACACTTTAATGTTGTTTTTACCATTGTTTAAAAAAAACCAGGAGACCTGCACATTGCATTACTGGTAGCGGCATTGACCCTGAGTTCCTGAGAGGACTCTTCCTGTTACGGTTAGTTAGATCTTCCTCTGCTGTCTATAAATAAACCCTTCAGTCTCACCCAGTAACTGTGGCCGGAGTTTCGCTTTATTTAAAGGTCCTTTAATACTCCTGTGCTCTTTTTAGAAGTGCTCCTTTGTAATTGCTCAAAGGACAAGGTGCCCCATTGCATTTTAGTTGTACTGACACATGTGCTGTACTTTGTAAACTTAGTACAGGGGCCCAGTTTACAGTTTACAGCAACCCAGTGCTTCACACGCAGCTACTGTGCTAAAAGTTGTGAAAAGGAAAGGCTATTAATGTCCTAGCATGAAAAGAAACCCTGCTGAATTCAAGACACAATCTTACAGCTCTTATAATTGAAAACCAAATTAAATCTAATCTTTATTTGGATTAGATTTTCTCTGATATCAGTTATAATTATTAACTTATGATGTCTCATCCTTGTGTTGAGATTAAAAATAAATAAATATAAAAATAATAATAATGGAAAAAAGTAATGGAAGTCAGTTATTTCAAAACTGTAATAATATTTCTCAATTTAAATTGTTACTATATACTATATATTATGTAATATATATTATTTTTATATAATAGTTTATTTATCTTTTTAACATATTCATAGTACAATCTATATAATCTATGAAAGATTAACAATTTTCAAAGCCACTTATTTTAGTTGAGTAAGACAGCATCACTGAAGTTTAGGTCTGTAGCTCTTATTTTGAGGCAGACTAAATGACGCTTAGCGTGTTAATGACACACTCATCCTTGAGAAACTCACCTGGCAGTGCCATGAGTCTGACACCAGTAAGAATGTGCTGAACACCTGTATGCTATCAGGGTTATTCAAATGTCAAAACCTATCACTTGTTTATAAAGGCGCGCCAATTCAACAGTTTTTTTTTTCAGAGTAAGATTGGTGCTGATGAGTCTGATGCAAGTCTAGTGCAAGAGACACTCTTTGCATTCTCATTATGCCAGCAGATTCTCTCTATTGGCTAGAGGTTTTATTTGTCTTCTCGCTAGGCAGAGGTATTGTAGTCTGTGTGCTTACTAATTTTTTTGTTTTGTTATTTTATAATATTAAATCTAATATTATATTGTGTATATACAATGTTGGGAAGATTACTTTGGAAATGTGATATTTTACAGATTACAAGTTACACTATTTAAAATCTAGTAAGTAGCGTAACTATTTCAATTACTTTATTAAAGTAATGTAACTGATAACATGATTACTTTTTGATTGCCTTTCTAAATTAGTTACAATTAGTAACTAGTTAGTTCCCAACACTGTTTATAGATAGATAGATAGATAGATAGATAGATAGATAGATAGATAGATAGATAGATAGATAGATAGATAGAT